AGCTTAGGTTTCAGCGACTGGATTGGTTGGTTTGGGCATCAATTCACCAAACTCGAACTGTTTCGGCTTCGGTTTGTAACCCTTTTACATTGAAATGCCTAGGAAGTCGTTGGACATGTTCACAAGTGTTACACCACCCTCAGTCAGCTTCTTAAGAGGCAACAACTCCCTTTTGAGTTCATCAGGCAAAAGACAGCAGTCATCAGCAACCGAATCTTCCTTGAGTAGACCCCTTATATCGGCAACAAGCTTAGACAAAGATATTCCCAACTCAACACTTCCTATAAAGTTATCGGCCACTTCTGAATCAAGGTTGTCTGTTAGCGAACTACCACCATCTCAACAATGTTCATATTCTCAGTCTGTTCTTAATGGTAAGTTACCTTACTTCGCAAGTTGTGCAATTTGTAGAGCAAATTTGGAATAGAATGTAGTTAAGAATATTGGTTTATTGGGAAAATAAGAGGAATAAACTTCTTGAAATCGAGTAAGATTTCCATTTGCCGGAATATATATTTCTCTGATCTGTTATCATCTTTCAAATGCAGCATTAAATGCTCTATGCGGCATAGGAATACTTTCGACTCCATATGCACTCAAAGAAGGAGGATGGTTTAGTCTCATGCTTCTCTTTGTTTTTGGAATCATTACATGTTACACTGGAATCTTATTGAAGAAATGTTTAGACAGTTCCCCTCAGCTTCAAACTTATCCAGATATCGGACAGGCTGCTTTTGGTTTAGCTGGTCGAATATGCATTGCTGTAAGTTAGATTCAAATATCAAGTTACTTATTTTCACTTTTTGTTGGAGAGAATAATTACTCAGGAAGTAACACATTGGCTTTGTTGTATTGCAGACAATTCTCTATGTTGAATTATATGTAAGTGCACTTCTCATTTGATTCTAGATTCTGATTAGTTTAGTGTTCCTCTTTTGGCCGGGACTAAGAAGTGCAAGTTATTCTCTGCAGTCTTCGTGTGTGGAATACTTGATAATGATGAGTGATAATTTGTCGGCCTTTTTCCCAAATGCTCATATGGCAATTGCCGGACTTCATCTTAGTTCGTATCAACTCTGTGCCATTACTTCCACCCTTGTTATACTTCCAACAGTTTGGCTTAGAAATCTCAGTTTGCTATCATATGTTTCAGGTACCGAGATTTTTTTTCTTTTGCTTTTTTATGTATGATGATTAAGATGCCATGGATTTGTTCTAATGTTCGTATACTATTTTCAGTGGGTGGAGTAGTTACTTTGGTTGTCGTAGTTCTCTGCTTGTTATGGGTTGGGATTTCTGGTGACGTTGGATTCCATCCGGCTGGCAAAGCACTGAATTTTGCCAATCTGCCAGTTACAATTGGTCTGTATAGTTTCTGTTATGGTAGCCATTCAGTGTTCCCGAATATCTATTCCTCCATGAAGGAACCTTCAAGATTTAATTCTGTATTACTTATCAGGTGACTTTTTGATTAATATCTGCTGGAAATTTGTGTACTTGTTTTCATGAGAATTCACTTATTGACTTATTTTCATATACAGCTTTATTGTTGCTGCCTTGACATACACTGGTGTAGCGATATGTGGCTTTTCAATGTTCGGGGAAGCAATCAAACCTCAGTTCACATTAAATTTACCCACGAAAGTTGCCGCCTCTGAAATTGCTAGATGGAGTGTGGTAAGAAGGAAACGCACTTTCTTGAGCTAGCAATCTCCATATTTACTTCGTACTTCATTTCATAGTATTATCTGTTGTTTCAGGTTGCCGCCCCAGTTACAAAGTTTGCCTTGACGATTACCCCTGTAGCATTATCGCTAGAAGAACTCTTACCTTCGGGTCAGAATAGATCTCATGGTGTATCAATACTCATCAGAACAATTTTGGTTATTTCCGTACTAATCGTGGCATTGGCAGTTCCATATTTTGGTAAGCATTTCAACGATATGTAATCTTATAGTTGTTCTAAGAATCGTTCTTCAAAAGGGAAATGCACATTTTCCCCAAGATGTTTCACTAATAATTTAAATGCAGGATCTGTAACGGCCTTGATTGGATCCTTACTCGTGATGCTTGTGGTGAGTTATCTTCGTCCATATTTATCTCAGTCCAAAATTTTTCCATTTCATAGTGAATCATATACGTTACTGATTTATTTTGGTCGTTTATAAACAGTCTCTGATCTTGCCGTGCGCTTGCTATATGAGAATACGCGGAGATAGATTAACAAAACTTCAGGTAAATTTTTGTCTCTCCTTCAGCCTTTCCAGTAATCTCAGAAAATATGAACTTGGCTAATTTCGATCTTTCTCTTAACTAGATTGCAGCCTGCACATTCATAATAGTTTTTGGATTATTTTGTGCTGTCATCGGCACATATTCAGCTGTCACAAGTATGGCTATCTAATAGATTCGTCTGGAGATACAAACTTCAGCCGAGAACGTTGTTTATCTCACAAATGCGGAAACTGGCACTAACAAGTGAAGATCAAAGTGAAATTTGACAGAAAGCTGTTAATGGCAATGTACAAAATTATTCAGCAGAAAGTGCACAAACAATG